CTTTAAACACGTAATGTGCATAAATACTTGAATCTTAATAATTGACATGAAAAAAGAAGAAGAAGAAGAAGACGACGAAGAAAATGAGCTTGAACTGTAATTTACGAATGCAAATAATAGCACATTTAGTTACACACTTACTTCCATGTGGGAAGAATTTCGCATAAATATCTTTGAAACAGTCTTCATGTACAATACCTTCCGGACATTCCTGCAATGCAATAAACATAACGAACCATTTATTCTGGTATGAGTTTGTATTTGTATATGTGTAAATTATATGAATGAAACGAATTGGGTATCTTTTATTTTTTTTATTTTTCGTTCGGAAAATTCACATTCACAGAAACGAAAACCAAATGATGCGAAAAACATAGTAACATCTACCGACTAAAAGAGATGAAATGATTTTTAGGCTACCGTTTTGAATCCGCGGTACATCACACGAATCTCTTGACGTGTGAATTTTGTGAGCCGACATAGATCCTCTAAGGCAACTGGAATTGGTTTCGGTGTACGAGCTGATGGTTCTAACTCGAACAGAACGACTTCCTCTTCAATTGGACTGTCAGGAGGCGTTGCCATGCTTACACAAAGAAAAAAAAAGTTTTTTTTTATTTCTCGCGTTTCGCTCTCAGTTTCTTTCCTTTTCTCGTTTCCTTCGTGTGTTTCTTTTATATTAGAGTGGTTCGATTTTGACATTTTTTCAAGCATCAAAAATCGTACCCCTATAACCTCTGTAAGTGTCGAATATTAATTGTATTACAAAATTAAGGCCATAATCGGTTTTCTCGTGCCAAAAAACCCCCGGGGGACCATTTTTTGTTGAATTTTCAAAGTGCTCAAAATTCATCAAAATTCATAAAAATTTGATTTTTTTTAAGAAACCGCCTGGAGCCGCGCATCACCAAAAATCATTTTTTTTCGAATTCGATGTTATAGTCATGTTTCAATGACCTTCCTACAGAGGTTATAGGGGTACGATTTTTGATGCTTGAAAAAATGTCAAAATCGAACCACTCTATTTTATATATATTTCGTTCTCTTATCACTTGATTCACTCCACTCGATTCTCCCGCAATTTATTGATTATCGTTGCCGTTTTCAGTCTTTCGAATAGTACCCGTCGGCAAGCGTTACACACATCTATATTTACTACTAACTGCCGGAGAAGAAAAAGAAGCAGAAGAAAAAAAGTTATGCACAAAACACACACACATATGTAGATATAATATTATATATTTTTGTTTTGCTGTTGTCATTTTCGTTCAAAACAATCTCAACTTTTTGCACATAAACACGACAATGGATTTTAAAATTGCAAACAAGTGCAAAAAAAGAACAGAAATAAAGTAAAAGAAAAGCACATTTCTTGTTATTTAGAGAAATAAGACAATACAATTTCTATCAATTTGTTTTTAGAAAAACGACGAAATCCCAAAATAACGAAAGAAATAGACAAGAATTGAACGAAAAAAAATACAAACACGACTCAAGTCAAGTCAAAGGGAATGAGAACATTTTTGTCACTTTTCAAATTCTTAAATAGATTTGAAACTCTTTGCGATTGTGTTTACACTATAAAGACCTTCTGATAACTGTAGCCTTGTTCATCCCTTGAAAACTTTCAATTTTCTTTCAAAACAGAAACAATATAAATGATTCACGCTGAAACGCTTTGACTCACCGAAATTCATTATTTCGAAAATTTGGCGGAACGGCATCAATTGAAGTGCAAGGCAAAACAAAGTGAAAAATAAAAATAAAAAACATTCAGTCTTTTACGTATATGTATATAAAAAAAGAAGCAGAAAAATTGTGTTCTCTTTTTCCGGTAAAAATGTGTTTCGAAACAAAGACGAAATCACATTTTCTTGTCACGAAAGTTTCTGTTCTGTCTCTTATTCTTTTGACTCTCTCTCTCTCTCTCTCTCTCTCTCTCTCTCTCTCTCTCTCTCTC